AGAAACTGTGTGAGAAACTGAGGTGAGGTTCCAAGAAGAGATTCTCTCAGGTCACCCATTTGGTTCCAGTGGCAGCCACACTGGATGCCCACAGTGGCCGTGCCATCTGTAACTTTCCGTCACGTGCATGGGTGATCTCCCCCCCCCACCCCAGGTTCCTCTGACTTTAATGGGGTCCTGCAGATTTTGGAGGGTGGGTTAGGGCCCCTCACTGCGCAAACCTAGGAATTGCTGTTCACAGCGCAGTCGACAGGAACAGTGCCCCGGGAGCCCATTACCATTTATGTGACAGCGTTGTGAATGGTCCCCCCTGGAGGTGGGCACTGCAGCGGCCCTGAATTTCAGTCTGTCAAGGACAAATGGGTCAGGGCTTTGACGCGAAGATAGGAGTTTTAGGTGCAGTGTGACAAATGGTGAAAGCCGTTCACTCACCAAGCTTCTATCTAGCACCAGCTAACTGGCAGGGTCTTGGATTAGAAACTGGGTGTGGGAGGGGAAGACAATGTCACCTCCAAGGTCACTTTCGTGGACAGGGTAGGTAAGTGTTCCCGACGCGCTTTGTGAATCTAAGCATTCCTGTTAAGCACAACCAGTCATTGCACAGATGACCCAGCCTCTCCCTCGGACACGGCACATTCCCTGATGTCTGTCTATGGCCGGAACTGCTCCCTGATGGGCACTGGGTGTGGCGCTGGGTAAATATTTGTTGACTAGATGAATGAATGCATGTATGAACAAATGGATTTTCTAGGGTCTGCTATCTCACCTGACCGCCCAGCTTTAACATTGGCGTTTTTCTGGCCTTGAGCCCCAAAGTTGCATACACTCACTTAACTACCATCTGGTGGTGTATTTGTGCTACAAAGGGGGGCTGGGAGCCTTGTGTGACGCCAGTAGATGTGTAGTGTTTGCTTCCTGGAGGGCACAGGGCACCACCCCAGCCTGGTGATGTGTCCCAGGGCTGCAGATGGCAGTGACCACAGTGTCACCCACTCACTGGGTGGTTGGCTGCCCCTTTGACCTTTCAAATGGTCTGCAGGGACCAGGTTGACACGATCTGACACCTGCCAGGTGGGCAATAAGGTTAAGAATCCCCGAGAATTGCCTCTACCATTCCAACCCGACTTGCATAGCAGATGAGGGAGCCCCACATAGATGTGTCTCTGCAATGAGGTGGCTGCCCCCCAACATTGACAAGAAATGCCCCCCAATAACTCCACTCAGGGCTGTCATGTCAATTTGGGTGATTGAGACCTCTGTGAGTTCACTTGGAAGGCCACCTATGGCACAACTATTCCCGTTGGTAGGGACCAATTAGCCAAGTTGACAAAATTAAATAAACCAATAACAATTTTTTAGAAGTCTGTGGCCCTGGGAAACTTGTCTTTTTTCTGGTACAACTTCTTGTAGACATGGTAAATGGGGTGTCAGCTGGGCCAGGGAACAGGGCCTGGGCAAGGACAGTGGGCTGGAGGGGCAGCGGAGGCCGGGTCCCTTCCTGGCACGGGCAGGGGGTCCTCAGGGTCTGCTGGTAGTGTGGGGGACAGCCACCAACACAGTCCGTTGTGACTGAAATAGCCTACGGAGGGCTTTGGATGTGACGGTGAGCTGGGAAGCATCTCTCGGCAGAATGTTACCCCCATTCCTGGCTGTGTCTTCCCTGACACCCCTCAGTCCTTCTCTCCAGTCCTGGGGCCCAAATTTGCCTGAAGAGGCTTTCCAATGATTATAGGAAGTGCCACCACCCAACTAGCTGCCTACCTGCTGTTTTTCTAAAACAACAGAGACTAGATCTACCTGCAGAATCATGTGTGTGCATGTGTGCATGTGTGTGCATGTGTGCGTGCATGTGCATGTTTTCAGTTAAGGCCTGTTTCAGATCGGTCAGCATTAAATGTTCGCCTAGCAGCCAGCGGCTCCAGGCACGTCTGCATGAGAGGGCTGTTTGCTCCTCGAGTCCCAGGGCGATTTCCAAGGTTAAGGTGAGGGTGAGGCCCTGGGTGCTACCAGCTATGGGCTCTGAGTAGAGATTCCAAAACACACCACAATTATACCATACTCGGACGAGATGGAAAGCATAAAACTGCTCGTTAATAACACACAGTTCCCAGTGGGGAAAAAAAGTCCTTACAAAAACAGGGAGTGAGTGACACAGGCCAGCGTTGAATACCGATTGATTCCTTGTTGTCATCTTCTGTCTCTTCTTCTTGCTTTTCTTTTTGTATAATTTTTATTGTTATTTTTACAGATTACGTGGTGATAGCCAGAAGCACACAGTAAGAAGGAAACAGAGGCAGCTTGAAAACTCACGTTTGGGAGTCACTAAGAAACGCTAACACTATAAATCTCTACTCAAATTTGCCACTATCCTGCATCTTATTCTCAGAGACACTACCATTGGCACGTCCGCCTGCCACAGTAAGATGGGGACAGGTTTTCATGGGGATGGCCCGGGGTCCCATGGGGCTTGGGGGAGCCCTTGACATGGGGAGCGACTGAATTACACACACCTGCCTTCCAAGGGCCACTCACCACCATGTTCCGTGTCCTCACCCCCTCCACCACTCCGTGCCCCCACCCTACACACTTGACAGGTGAAAAGCTGAGGCTCAGAGAGGGAAAGTGACTTGCCTAAGGCCACACAGCTGGTAAAGGGCGGTGCTGCGTTCTCTGCACCACTGGCTGCCCTGGTACTGTTTGCACCTGTGAGGTCTGCTGAGCTATAGATGGGAGGCCTCCTGCATACAGCAGAGTGTCCCAGCCCAAGCCCGGCTGCTACAGTAAACCCCCTTGGGAGTTATCTGTCGGTCACTCCTGAAAAGACCACTGTAGGGCCAGAAGCGGCGACCTGCAAGTTGTGAATTTCAGGGCTGTGGATCGGGCGAATCCTAGCCCTAGCTGGTTTCTGTGACAGTAACCTCCAGGCCTCCGGGGCAGGGAGACAAGGCCACCAGCTCCTCCATGGCAGAGGAAGCGTCTCTGTGTGAGCGGCTGCATGAGCATAACCACAGGAAGGCAGACATGAAACCCCTAAATGCCTTGTCTGACTCCTTCCTCTTACCAACGGGGAAACTGAGGGCAGAGAGGGCACGGGACTTGCCTGGGGTTACACTGCTCTTAACGCAGAGTGATGTCAGAATCTGGGTCTTGTGCCCGCCTCCCCCAGCTGCCCGCAGTTAGGTCCCTGTGAGCCCGCAGCTCCTCACATGGGATGCAGGTGTGGGGTGACCCAGCTGGGCTAAACGGCTGCTGGGCACCCTCCGCGGCAGTCACTGCTCTGCATGGATAAGGCCTGGCAT